GCTAATTATATGAATAACTTGATTTGCTTGAATTTATGAAATTCTATGAATCTGTTTACGCAAACTGAAACCGTTACGTTGTTGACATCGGATAATTAATCGCTATGTTATAATTTGATTATAATCGGTCACTGTTTTANACGTGCATGAATGTTTAAAAGTGTTTGCCATGCATGAATCATAATTATCGACACCTAGTTAATATTTTAATAACCACAGACATGAAAATTTGTTGTAGCACCTTCTGCATATATATATTGGATATAGTTTGATGCATATTGAATCGTGCTTGTTGGTTTGCCACTTTGATTTGTGGTTTGATTGATTTCTGGTTTGATTAATCCGGTTAAGTAAAACCAGAAACTTTGCTATGTTTTAATATGTCGCTTGATTAAAATTCTAATTTGATTAGAACTTCCCAATTGATCTAAATTATTATATAACTAATAACTTATAATTTTAATTAGATTAAAATTAATTATTTAAGAACCAATTTAAAACATATTAGATATGTATTATATTATATGTTTTATATTTGATATAAATTTATAATATAAATATAAATTGGTTTAAAATNAAATCCTCAATTTAAATTTCAAGTATTATTGATGCCTATCCAATCTCTGTCAACTGTCAAGGCTTATTTCGTTGTGTGATGGGTCTGTCAAACAGGGTGTCCACTTCTACATAAGTGAGGCATATGGTAATGGTTACCATGTGAAGTGAGATTGGTTTACTTGACTAGGCTATCAAAATGGTTTTGGGCTTAGAGGTATATGTTGGATTGACATAAGATGTCATCCGACAGCCAAGAGTTATATTGGATATAATTAGCAAAGTGTGTTGCTTACCTAAATAACTAGACGTTCGGGCGATGAGCCAAAGTTCACTTGAATCCTAGTAAAATATGGATCTTGGATCATTATATTCACTTTGAGGATAATATTATTTTGAATATAATGTGAGTTTTCTTAAATGTTGAGATTTCTCAAATTAATGAACATCATTTTAATCTTTACTCTTCTTTCCGACAGCTATGTCAATCCCTCACAGTTCATTTTCATTGCGTTCCGTCCTTGAGAAAGACAAGCTGAGTGGAACGAATTTCCTCGAATGGTATCGAAATCTGAGAATTGTTCTCAAACAGGAGAAGAAGGACTATGTCCTTGGAAAAAATCTCCCACCTGAAAAACCTAAGACCAATGCTCAACATGTAGAAAGGACTGCTTATGATAAGCATGTCGCTGACAGGGTTGATGTGTGTTGTCTTATGTTGGCTACCATGAACTCAGACTTGCAAAAACAATATGGGAACGTGGATTCGCCAATTGACATGATCACTAGCCTGAAAGGGATGTTTCAGGAGCANGCACGAANTGAGAGATACCAGACCGTTAAGGCTCTCATTGAGTGCAAGCTGCCTAAAGGCAGTCCAGTTAGCCCACATGTCATTAAGATGATGGGTTATATTGATAACCTGGCTAAACTGGATGCTCCCATTAGCCAAGAGTTGGCTACTGACATCATCCTGCAGTCATTGCCGTCAAGTTATGATCAATTTGTTATGAACTACAAC